TTAAAATGCTATCAATCTATCTTGCAACATCATGACTTGTCTCACAAAACTTTTTCAAGTTTCTCTCAAAAACAAACTTAGATGAGATATAACCTATACAAGTGGAAAATCAAAATATAAGATAATCGTTAAGTGTAAGAAATGATTATATATATACCTCATTTCAAAAATTATTGCTTTAAATTTTGATTTTATTAAAATTATTTGTAATATAACAAATGCAATAAACATGATAAGCATGATGAGACAGTCATTCCAAGTGAGGATTTACAATAGATTATTTTATGCTTTGGTGTCTATCTTATATAACACAAATCTCAATTTTACTATAAACATAATTTCGAATTAAACCTAAGAACCATGACCAAGCACACAATGTTTCACCTTCAACAATTGCGAATGCAATGGGAAGAATACAATTATTACAATCTTGAGTTGTTGTAATTAGAAGTGTTTATTGATATTTTCCATAAAGTAAAGTTCCATTAATAAAATTGTCTCTATTGTCAATGATGTAATCCATATTCTCAATTTTATAGACTGATCCAGGTATAAATTGTTGTATGTGATGCAACCATCTTGGTAACATTGCATACAACTCATTTCAATCACCAAATGCACAAACAATTAATTTTTGTTTTGCCTTCCATGCCTTTCTATATGACACTTTATATCCATATAAACTCACAATCTTTTCTTGTATTAATCCAATATCACTAAAGGTTCTTAACTTATCATCTCTTGCAAAATATACAAAATTAATACAAATAAATATAACTCAACCTATACAATAATTTAATACAAGTTAAAATAACAAATTCAATTAAGTTATACCGAATATACATGAACAAATAAATTCTAAATCCAAATTGATATAATCATACAACGTCACGATATTCACACAATTATGTCAACCACCATACTTACTAACAATCCACATGTTTATTCTTTTGGAGAGGTGAGCTCTCACTCGCTACTGGCAACCATCAACATTATGTTGACGCTTCACATCTAAAATAGTCAACTTCAAATCAATTACACAATATAATTAATAGATCTTCATTAAATATTATATAATTGCTATTTAAATAGCATCTTTTAAGTCAAATTGCAATCCAAAATATAAATCATCACCCCTTTTCCAAGAACAAACTATATTTGATTCAACAAATTATATTTCTTGATCAAGATGATTCCAATTAATGTATTGATAATGTTGACAATTATTCCAAAATACACTTTCATCATTTTCTAACAATATAATAATAATATGTTAAGTAATAACTTATTCTAACTTAAAAATTAATCACTCACATACATATTAATTAACATTGTTGCAAACCATCAACCAAAACTAGAATACTAATTGTACCTTACAAAACAATTGAGTCAAAATTACCTTCGATATCAATGTCATTTTTCATTTCATAAGAAATTTTATATTCATCAATATTATCGTCATTTGTTTCTATTATATCTAGTAAATTATAATAAGGATTATCATCATCTAATAAAGAAATGCTTAGATTGAAAAGTAAAAATAAGTGACCAAAGACATTAAGATGAATGAAAAGAAAGTAAAAACATGTGAGCATGGGAATGATCAGATATAACATCAAATCACGTATCAACTTTTCACTTTTTATATTTTTTTAAATGAAAATGATTAGACATAGGTTATAAAAGAAGTGATATATGCAATTTTCGTTTATGTGCCCTTGACAACTATTCGATAGAAACGAAAAAAAAAACATTTTTGCCAATGTCAATAGAGCTGAGAGTAAGGAATACACATTTACTTGAAAGAGTTTGTTGCTTCCAAAGAGCCTAAGGAAGACAATGGAATCAAGCCACAAGGGTTTATTTAAATTAGAATTTTGTTGTTTGTTAAAGTTGGTGATGCATGTTTAGTTGATATTTAATGACCAAAATGTATTTTCATTGAAATATCTAATTTGGACTAAGTTAGGATGTTCTTGACCTTAGGCATGATTTGTTTAGCTGAATGACGAGAAATGAATAGAGGAAAGTGTAATATAAGTGTTGATGATGAAAGAAATTAGTGTAAATAGTTACAGAGATACACTGGGAGTATAGAGTTTACAGACGATTTGGAAAATTTAGAAAAAATAAGGGTGGTAAATGTTATTCGTAGTGGTTATACATAACTGATTAAAGTGAAAGCATCACAAGCCTCACAATCATATCTCGACTAGACTCCTCACTATACTTTTGCTAAGGGCCCTGTTATTGTGTATGTAGTATCTATGTGCATGGGCTAACCGGTGATTTTTTACCTGTGTGTAAGATTAATGGAATGTTGTAGGAAACATTTGAGTGCAATCACAATGTACAAGGAAGTGTGTATATGAGAAAGTGAGAGAGAATGTTATATAATTAGTGCATGAATTATGGTATCATTGATATGTGTTGTATTGTATTTGATGCTGTGGAGATTCATATATGTATGTTTATTATGTTTTAGTGGTAAGGAGGGAACTCATCCTTCCAAATATTTTCATGAAACAAGGATAACCATTCCACAAGGAGCCATTAGATTATTAAAGTTTACTGTAGAGAGTAAAGTAAATTATGTCTTTAAAGAATGGCGAAGAGTTTGCCACTATAAATTTATAATAACTAGTGAAAATAAATCTGGTGGTGTAAATACATTAGAATTCACAATATGTATAATATTCCTTTTGATTATTCTGTTAGTGATAGAATACACCACACTTTATGTTTCTATGTATATCGGACAGTTTGAATGCTTAAAGCTGTAAATTATGTGTACCCCTTTCGTGACCATAATCAAATGGGAAGGCCAGTCATTTCTACCCGAGAGCAGATTACTTGTACAAAAGTCATTGTAGATGCTGAAGATTTTTTTTTATGAAGATCTAGCATCAGAAGGGTTGGAAGATATAAAAGGTTAGTTTGATAATGATGAATATAATCCTACTTTCAGGATTTTTGGCATGGGAGTATACTACTCATTAGGACTCTATATATTTGATTTAGTAATTATGTAAATGAAGTCCTAATGTATTTTTTTTATTATGATATGTAAATATTAAACTTTTGAACCTGGAAAGACAATATATGTATATTTTCTTACTAATCAAGGGTAAATTTAAACCATATATGTTCTATTTTAGCCTATAAACATAGTCTCATTTTCCTTTGACTATTAGATCACCAAGTTGTTTCATGTATATCTCTTCCTCTAAATCACTCGGAAGAAAAGTTATTTTCATATCCATTTGTTTTACCTCCAAATCCAAAGTGGTAGTCAAACTCAATACAATTCTAATGAATGACATCTTTAGCATAAGCGAGACAATCTTATTAAAATTAACACTCCTTTTTTTAAAGGAAACCTTTCAACACCAATCTAGATTTATATCTTGGAGATGTAGAATTAATATTTTGCTTTATCTTATAAATCCACTTGTTTTCAAATGCCTTTTTGCCTTTAGGAAACCTCACTAAATTAAATTTGTTATTATCATGTAAAAACTTCATTTTTATCTTATATTGCATGCAACCACTTTTTCTTTTTTTAACTCTCTATCACCAATTGAAATTACTTAAGTTCTCCCTTATCAACCAAGGTTACAAACTCGTCAAATGGATATATTGTAAATGATGGTTTCTACTTGTTAGACCTTTGGAGTTACGCCTGAAGTGGTTCAAGAGTATTACTAAAATTTTTATCTTGTCATATTTCATGCTCTTCTTTAGCATCATCAATTGAAACATCATCTAACTTTGTAACCTGTCAATCATGGATATAGTTATGTTGCTTACCATTTTGAACACTACTCTCATCACTTTCCAAATTATGGATAAGTGAGTGAATTGGATCTATATTAAACAAATTACTATATTTTTTTAGTGTAATTTTTTACACCTTATCAATGTCTTCAATGCTTTGATCTTTCAAGAAGTTTAAATTATAACTTTAAACAAGCTTCTTCTCGACATGATCGTATAACTTGTAACCAAATTAATTTTGATATTAACTAATAAAGATGATTTGTCTGGTCTTTACATCTAACTTTGATCTTTCATCCTTTAGAACATGCACAGTGTAACACCCTCAATTTTATGACTCTTGTATGGAAGAAAATAGGAATCTTGGTGCAGAGTATCTCACTGTAGCGAGAAAGAACATTCAGAAATCTCACTGTAGCTAGAATGACAGACAATAAAGAAAAATTTTGTTTGATTTTTTCGCTACAGCGAGAGAAGAGCTTGTTATAGCGAGATATAGCTTGTTGTAACGAGAATATCGTGAGTGAAGGAGTATTTAAGGGCATTCAACCTAAGGAACTTAGATTACAATTCAAAATCCTGATCTCTCCCCTATTCTCTCCAACCTCTCACCCTCTCTTCTCAGAAATCCTCCTCTAAACCTCAATCTTCCTTCGAATCCGAGCTTAGGAGTTCAATCATTTAGATCTAAGTAAGTTTTCTTGAGTTTAGTTCTCTAACTTCATTCTTATTTCTCCATTTTATCCAATCCAAAGTTTGTACTTTGTGATATTCAAGGAAGTCGTAACCTTTAAGACGATATTCTTTACCGAAACATTGTGCCTCTCCCTTAGATCTCAAGGAAAACTTGATATGAGAGACTCATTTCTAGGTTAGGAGAGTTGATCCTAAACCCTAACTCCTCTTTGGTATTTTGAGTTAAAAAGACTATATTTTTCCATTAGAACCATAAAACCCTAATATTCTTTTCTTAAAATCTAGTCACTAAGTCAAAAGAATAATACTAAATTCTCTGAGGACCACTTTTTATACTCCTTTGGTGTCGTTGTTTTTTAAGTTACACCTTAACCTTGCAGAATAGCTCGATGAGAACTAGCAAGTTGTATGCAGGATCACCAGAGTTCGAATCTTAGGTATTAAAAATTTTCACATTTTCTTCCCCCTTCTCTAAGCCCCATCCCCAATGAACCAAGGAAAAAAAAAACACTTGCACTAAAAAACAACCTCCAAGGTTGAAGTCCTAAGTATTTCTTACAATATTTTACGCTCAAATTAGAAGCTGACAAAGAGCCAAGCAGCGCTTCAAGATGTTGGAAAAAAAAAGCCATGCAGATCGAGTTACCTTCCCAGGCTTTGCCCCAACAATAAAGAATCTAAATATAGAGAAAAAAAGAGTGCAGTTTAAAATGAATTTAATGGAAACCATGCAAAATATATGTAAATTCGTCCATAAACTTCATATAGTATGAAATTGTTTTTCCAATATTGAAGTTCAAAGTAGCTGGCAGAAAGGAGAATACAATTTCATATTTGTTTAGATCAATTCAAGTCTATTTATTTACTACTATGGCAGAGAATATGGGTAAATATCTTGCAGATCAACTAGTGATCCTAGCCCATGGCATATTTCTGGGTCCAAGACCGTGTAGTAGCCTCATACTTGGCTCTGTCAGTCTTGTACATATGAGCAATCTCAAGGACCAGAGGATCATCTGGGTTGGGATCTGTCAGCAGAGAGCATATAAAAAGAAAGACCTAGAAAACTTTAATATTTAATTAACCTTGACAAGAATCATTTTAAGAAATAAAATAGAATAAAATAACAAACTCATAAGTTATCATATTACCTTGGATATTGTAAGCGCAAGGCTCCATTGCTCTTTGAGGATGTCAAGGAAAATACTACCATTACTGTTGATATTAGGGTGGAAAACCTCTGTGCGGAATGAAACCTTAACAAAATGATAATAAATGTCATACAAACCACTGTCACAAGGTAGAGTTATTAAGGGCGCAATGCAGCTTAAATCAAATGCCATATCTAACCAGCAATGTAAATGATAAAAAATATGGCAGCAATTATCTCTAGAATCCTTGAATATTCTCTACTTACTAACTAGTTATTTCTATGCAAAGCAATCATAGGCTCAAGCTGTGAAAATGATTCCAACCATTACCAACAAAAGTAAAAAAATAAAAAAATATATAAACAAGAGAGTTTACAAAAGAACAACCAATGATCAGATGAATAAATCACATAACATCACAATTTCACAACAAATGTTCAATCCACTACAATTGTGGACGGATTGGCCTTCAGGAATTCTTCATCATCTTCAATACATCATTAGTCCCTTACCAAACAAAAGCTAGAATTTTCAAAATTTTCCAATTCCCATCTATCACTGGATTTCCAATGCCTAATGCAACCTCCAGTAAAATTTACAACCCCTCAATGTAAAATCTAATAAAAGAATCCTACAATTCTATTTATGCTAAAAAAAAATAACAGTTAACACACAAAAAAAAAAACCTGTCCCACAATGTGTGTATATAGTTTGACACACGTCATGTATTTGAATACAATAGACTTTTGATTTACCTTGGGTTGTTTGAAAGGATAATCAGGAGGGAAGTGAATTGACACAAGAAATACACCTCTGGCAAATGCTCTATCTGCAAGGCCCATAATCGTAGCTTGCCAATGGAACAAGTCATCAGCCACTGGGCCTGAACATAAAATTTCAATTCATATGCTGAACATCTGAGCCAAAAAAAATATACAGACTTAAGCATTTTTTACTAGCCTAAAATACTTGAGCAAACAAGAATCACTAGAGTTCCAATAATTACTAGTAGAGTATCTATGTTTATTAATTTTTAACCAAAAAACATTAATGAAGTAATCTGGGGTGCAATTTATAAATTCCAAATATTCTAACAGTAGCAGAAGACTTAAGGCATATATTAATTATATTGTTCACTACATCGTAGACAACACTCATTTACTGCGGTAACTAGCAACAAGCAAATGTCCCAAAGCAGTTAAAAATTAAATAATTCATTCGTGACAAATGTATGTAGATGTGTTAACAACAAAGTAATCATAAAAGATTTTGTCAAACATTCAAAAGATTATTAGGAAAAAAAAAAAACAAAGGATATTACTTAGTCCATCCCAGTGCAGTACCAGGAACCATTATCCACAGTTCTATGATCTATACAAATAGTGATTTCATTCCTTAGATCCCCTATTGTCCTTGCTTTGGTCAGAAGCAAAATTTTCAAAAAAACTACATTTTGAACCGCTCAATCTTTGTGTAATTTTTTTACAATTGAAGTAAGAAAATAAAAGCCAAAAGAGTATAGAAACATACCAGCATTGCACAATGCAGGAGGATCTTTCTGTAGGTCCTTCAATTCCTTCAACGTGTTTTGCAATTTTATTTTTTTAATTTATATAAAAGCATGCACATATGCATCAATACTTAAGTATGTATACATGGATACACACCAAGACATAATTAATAAGAATATTATTATCATCATTAGAATAAATATCTGTTGTGTGTATAAACACAGCCACATATGATAGGATATGTGGAAATTTTAAAAGTAAGGAAATTTCAAAGCAGAAGAGTGAGACTTAAAAGAGGAAAAGAGAGAATTTCATTGACCTTAAGTAGGGTTTGGGGTTAGGGAGTTGGTTCGGTGTAGAATGGAAACACAAAATTGAAAGGGAGAATAGAAGAGGAGACAGGGGACGCGTATAGATGTGGGAGTGAAGATTTTTATTATAGTTCAAAATAGATAATTTGAGGCCTTCACTTCTTGCCAAGCATTGGCTTACCTGTCACCCAACTGTATGTATTTTTTTTTTTCATCGCTACAGTGCCTCTACAACATTAGGGGTTCCCTACTCTCTATTAGTTGGCATTGCATAAAAAAGCTAATCGGTTATTAATACCAAGTTATTATTTAAATATTTTAAATATTAATTTTTTATATTTTAATTTTTTTATTAAATTTTATAATATAATCTTTTTCTATGTTTAAAATTTTCATAATTCTCATCTCGTCAATCATGATTGATTATAGTGAACTTCAATTTTTACCACATCGTTTTTCCATTCATACCATGTGGAGTATTGTCGTCTTCTCAAATAGAAATTTTGTAAAATTGAGATTAAGATTGTTAGAGTGAACAATGACGGTGTTGTAGTGTTGTAGAAGAAGATTATAGTAGTGCTCATGGCATATTCAAAGTCTCAATGGTAAAGAGGGTTGACTACGATATAATATTGACAATAATAAAAGATTAGAGCTTCACAATAAAATTTATGAAGGTTAAAAGATTAGTAATAGAGAAGCTTCTGGACAGACAATGGTGAAGATTTGAAATCATTGTCAAATAGGAAAACATTGATGCCATACCAAGAGGGTTATCGTTTTTCTTTTTTAGGCACCACATTCATGAACCAAATGTATGAAGGTTAAAAAGATTAGTTATAGAGAAGCTTCTAGACAGACAATGGTGAAGATTTGAAATTCATTGTCAAATAGGAAAACGTTGATGTCATACCAAGAGGGTTATCGTTTTTCATTTTTAGGCACCACATTCATAAACCAAATGTATTTTCTCTATTTTCTAGAAAAAGTAAGTTTCTCATCAACAACCTTAGTCACTTCAAAAGTATTTGAATTAACCATCACAACATTAATATAATTATTGTTGCTATTATTATTGTTATTATTGAGCTTATGCTCTTTCTTTTTTCCTTTTTTTTTTTTGGTTTATCAAACTCATCATTCGACATGGACATTCTTAAATTTGGACTCTCCACATTAGAATTCACCCCTCCACCCCCACCTTTTCAACTTCCAAGAAAATGTGCATCATAGTTATTTTCACCATTATTTACCTCGTTGATGGTGTCATTTAGAGGTCCTAGTTCGATGAAGCGAATGTGATTGGAGACTAATTTGATGCAATAGGTGTTGAGATCTCACGAGAGAAAGGGAAACCATATGGCAAGGAACTTCAGAGTTGTTTAGAGATAGGAAGTTATATAGTTGAAAATAAAATAATTAATATTGGAAGCATTAAGTTGAAGTTCTTGTTATTCTTAGTGTTTGTTTATAGAGTTGAGTTAACTCAAATGTAAAAATAAAGAAAGTCATAGTTCAGGAATTTAATTTTAATTAAGAACCTTAACTGTAATTTTTAAATAATAAAATAAGAGAGAGTTTCTAAACCCTTCAAATGATAAGGGTACCAAAAAGTATCCTTTAAAAAAAAAAAACTAGTTAGCATGATATTTTAAAATAAGTACATATATAATTTAATAATTAAAGATAACTTTTTATATTTTATTAAAAATAAATTATTAAATTCAAATTCAAGATAATGAGTTAATAATTTAAAATTTTAATTTATTAATGTCAATGAAATTTTTAATTAAATAATACAATTACTTTATTAAACATGTAAAAAGTTTTTAAAAATGTGACTTGGACAGATTTTTCAGTTTTGCAAAACATTTTAAGTTAAATTTATTTATTATTTAATGAATTAATTATTTTTTTGGAAAGATTATAATAATTGTAATGTATCCAAATTTAAAATTCAAGTTAATGAATATAATAGTTTTAAAATATACTTTATTTTTAATAATGTCAAAGAATTTTGTAATTAAATAATACAGTTATCTTATTAGACATGTAATTTTTTTTTAAAAATGTGATATTTCTTGGACTTAGTTTTTAATTTTGCATAAAAATATTTTAATTGAAAGTTATTTATTATTTAATGAACTAATAAATTTTTTGGTAAGACTATAATAATTTTAAATTTTAGTTTATTTTTAAGTATTATAATTTTAAAAATATTTCTAATTAAAAGAAAATAGCGAATATATTAAATGAGAAAACACTAAAAATTTAACATGTTAAGACCTTTAATTCTGTCTGTCTCTCTCTCCAAGAAAAGTTTTCTTGCATCGTGAAGAGAGACTCCTCTTCTTTTTTTGTTAGCATTTCTCAACCCTAGAGTTTTTGTCTGAGCATTGCGCTGCTGCACTCTTGGCAGACTGATCGAGCAGGTTATTAAGAGGCGTCATAGAAATCTTTCACTATGACTATGATCTGGAGGCTAAAGAAGGCTGAAAACATGAATCCTTTAGAAGAAGAGGTTTAGTCTAAGGAAGAGCTAGATCTAATGGTTAGAAGTACAAAGAAAGTTAAGACAAACTCAAAAAGCATCATGGATGTGGTGGATCCACTGGCACAAGGGAAGGATAGCGACGAGGTCCTCTCAAACCAGGTGCCTGCTTTCCCTTGTTCTCCTCTTTGCATGTCATACAAGGATAAAGTTCTGGCTAGTAATGACATGGATATGACTTTTAATAATATAAAAATAATAAAATTGGTCTTAGAAGAGTTAAATATTCCCTTGGAGTTAAATGACACAAATTTATGTTAACATGTTGTGCACTTTATTTTGTGTTTTGTTTTTAATTTTCTGCATGTTAGTATGTTAATTTCGTTCTAATTTTTACATAATAGATAGATTAGAATTAGTTTAGTTGTGTTACTCCCTAGTTACTTCTGCATATTGTGTTTGTTTTAAGTTTTTCTGCATTTTTCCATATAACTTGTGCACTTTTCTGCAGATTTTTTTTGTGGAAACTGATGCATTTTTGCTACATAAACTTCTGCACTTTTCCTTCTGTTAAATTTTGTAATTCTGAATTGCATTTTTTTCTTTAATTTTCTACATTTTGCTTGTTGCGTTCAACAGATTTTTGCACTTGTCTTCTTGCACTTGTCTTCGACCATGTTTTTGTTCTATTTTTAGTTTTCTACAGCATTATTCTGCATAATTTTTTGCTGGAAGATTTTCTGCATTTTTGCATCACTATGCTGCACACTATTTTTGCATAATTTTTGTTCTTCACTCTTTCACAAATCTACAACTGTGTTGCATGCATTCTGCGTAATTCTTTGCATTCTACACTTTTGCATTTAGTAACTTCTGCATTTGCTGCATTTTGTTTCTATTTTTCATTTTTTTTGCATTTTGCATTTTGCATTTCTTCGCTTTGCATTCTATTTTCAAAATTCTGCTAAACAATTTTTACAATTTTGCATTTTGCATTCTATTGCCTAATTTTCTGCATACTGCATTTTGTTTCTGTGTAATTTTTCTGTTTTAATTTTCTGCATTGTTGCATTCTGCATTTTTTCTTCATTTGTTTCTGCAGTCTACTATGTTTTTGCCTTGTTTTGAAAATTCTGTTGCATTATTCTGCAGAATTTTGTAGACTTTTGGTTAGATATTTCTGCATTTTGTATAAATTATGCACATGTTCTGTTCTATTTTGTTTTATACTTTTGCATCATTTTCCTTATTGTATTGCTGTGCAATTTCTACATTCTTTTTTGCTCTTGTTCTATTTAATTTTGCTGCATAATTTTTTATTTTCTTCACAATTTCTGCATTTTGTTTCTGCCATATATTTTTCTGCATAATTTCTCATTTTTCTCATCAAATTCTACATAATTGAGCATTTTTGCATCTCTGATTTCTACATATAATTAGCTGAGTATAGTGTTCCTACATATAGATTTAGTGTTGGTTCTTAGCATTTGGCTGCATTTCATTCATAACTTTCACACACTTTCCTTAATTCTAATAGCTTTTCTTAGTGTATTTTGTGTACATTTAGCGTATGACTAGAGCAAATCCAAGTTTCCTATATCCTTTTGATCTAGAAATTGATGACATATCATAGGCAACTTAGGCAGTCTAGTCATGCATATGTACATAACTCTGATAGTGATGTGACTCTATTTCTATTTATTTTCTTTTTCCTCTTTTCATTTTGATTCAGATATTATGACTGAGAGAACTTTAAGAGAGCTGGCTTCTGATGTATCTATGCAGACATTATGCATCCAATATCCTAATATAGATACACCTTGTGTGCTTTAAGTCTGGATTGATTCATTTGTTGCCCAAGTTCAATGGTCTTCCAGGTGAGGATCCATTTAAACACCTCAAAGAATTTCACATTGTTTGTACCACCATGGTACCAGCTGGAGTTCCAGAGGATCATATAAAGCTAAAACCATTCCCATTCTTATTATAAGACATAGTCAAGAATTGGTTATACTATTTACCACCTGGATTAGTCACTAGCTGGGATGGTCCAGGGAGGATGTTTCTGGAAAAACTTTTTCCTGCATCTAGAGTGACTTCAATCAGAAAAGAAATTTGTGGTATAAGGCAAATGGACAAAGAGAGTTTGTATGACTATTGGGAGAGATTCAAGAGGCTTTGTGCAAGCTGTCCACATCATCAAATTAATGAGCAACTTCTTATCCAGTACTTCTATAAGGGTCTTGTATCTATGGATAGGCAGATGATTGATGCAACCAGCAGAGGAGCTTTGGTAAGTAAAACTCCTATTACAGTAAGGCAATTAATTGAAAATATGGCTTCTAATAATCAGTAGTTCAGTACTAGAAGCAATCTAGTGGCCTTAACTAGAAGAGTTTATAAGATGGAAAATACTCATGTTGTTGATCATAGAAAACTAGAGGACAAGTTAGATGATTTAGCTTTTTTAATCAAGTAGTTGGCATTGTTATAGAAGGCTGCAAGGTTGTGTGAGATCTGTTTTCGCATGAACACCCCACTGATTCATTGCATGAGCTTGCAGGTTGGATGAATTATCCTAACCTAAGATGGGAGAATTTTACACATCAACAACAAAAATAACTGCCATCATAAACTACTGTATCTTTCAAGAGTGAGCCTTCCTTGGAAGAATTAATGAGGAAAATGGAAATTAATGATCTGAATTTTCAGCAAAGAACAGAAGCAACTATTTAAAACTTGGAAAATCAAATTGGACAGTTGGTTTCTGCTTTGAATCATTTGCAATCTCAAGGTTCTGGTAATCTATCTGCATAACCAGTTGTCAATCCAGAGAATATTAGTGCCATCACCTTGAGATAAAGAAAGACCATTCAAGGCTCTCAAGAGCAGCAACCAACAGATGAAGATCTTATTGTTACTGCTTCAGTAAGTGATTACAGTCCAGTAAGTGAAGAATCTTCTCCTACTCTTCATGTCATATCTACCAATGCAGTAGAAAATTTTGAGCAATTTATTCCTCTTCCATTCCATTTAGTTTTCCATGTTAATTTGTTGAATGATTTAGTTGATGATAATTTGGTTGAGTTTTCTGAATTTTCAAATTATATTGACTATCCTAATTCCTTTACTTATGATGCATGTAATGATTATGCAAAGTGTAGCTTTTGTGCAGAGATTGATACATATGTGTATGGTGATTTTGATGCAGCTATTGCAAATTCTGAGAAAGTGAATCATGATGCAGCCATTGCAGGTTCTAAGGAAATGAATAATGATGCATTTGAACCTTCAAAGAATTCAGAATGTACTAATTTGATTGTAGTAATTACCTATACATATGATTTTGTTGAAGAGCAAATTCCCTCCTTCTCTAAAGCTGCCTCTTGCATCTGAGTTAAAGCCTTTGCCTGAGCTCTTAAAGTATGGATATTACATTATTGTATATCCAAGAGAGCAGCCAAAGTGCAGTAGTAGGACAAAATGTTCTACATATAGGCGATGAAGAGCATGAAGAGAATCTTATTGAGTCTATGAAGTAGTTGGAAGTCCCTCTGCGGTTATTTCTTTCAAGTTCTCAATTAAATGAAGTGCTACAAATTTTTGATAAAAAGGAGGAAAACTTAAAGATAGAGTTGAAACTGTTACCATCAAATGCATTTCCTAGAGCTAAAGATCATTAGGCGTCAAGCTAGTGACGTTAAAAGAGTGCTTTGTGAAAGACAACTCATAGTTCTTTGCATTTTCTTTTCATTTTACCTTTCATTTTTGTAATAAATCTGCATAATTCTGAGTTTTGAAGTTATAGGTAGCTGATTTTTGACCCAAAATTCTGCATAATTCTAAGTTTTGAAGTTGCAGGTAGTTGATTTTTAGGTTGAAGTTCTGCATAATTCAGAGAAAAATCAAGTTTAACATGTGGAGTAGTCACTATCAGCATCCATAGGAGCTATTCTCAAGGAAAGAGTAAGAGATGCTCTTTGAAGTGAGCACTTTCAATGCTCATAGTAATTACTTTCAGCTCAGGTATGCATTTTTGCCCTTTGTAGTGAACACTTTCAGCAGTGATAATAGTCACTCTAAAGTATTTTAAGATGATTAAGGTGCGCGTACTCACTATCACTACCCATAGTGATTGATAGTTATTACGCGCAGCACCATTGACCTTAAAAAAAATGATCTCTGAAGTGTTTACTATCTCTACCCATAGTAACTACATGCACATAAAAGTGATTACTATCAATACCTATAGTAATTATGCCTACCTAGTCACTTTTCACACCTCTCTGAAGTGTTTACTACCACTACCCATAGTAACTATGCGTGCACCAGAGTGATCACTATCACTATCCATAATAATTACGCATACCTAGTTCACTTTCGACACCTCTCTGGAGTGATCACTACCACTACCCATAGTAATTATGCACATCTCACCCACTTCACACACCTCTCTGGAGTATTCACTCTCAACACCCATAGTGGTTACTCCCACTCTTCGGTCTGAAAACTCAGAATTTTATCTTCTCTCTCCTCTTCTAAAATTTTTTGCTCTCTAATACTCTCACTCTGCATTTATCTACATGCTATTGTTTGTCTTTTGTAACCATCAGATTACACTATACTCATCATGGGACTTTGTTCAATAAATTTTAGTTGCAATTGCAACATTAATTTTCCCTTCTTGATTGAGCCTAAATGCTGCATTATTCCTTTATCATGCTAGATGAGTTTTGTTGATGTGCCTAGTCATTACATGGACTGCTATACAATTTTGCATCCATTTTTCTGCATAACTGGAGTTCCATAACTATTGTACCACTACACACACACACACTTCATTATTCATAATTTTATCACCTTTCAGTCAATTCCCTAATTGCACGAGGTATAAGCATACTACTACTAGTATTTACTTTCACATTTAAGCACATTGTTTAGACACACTTTTCACTTCATTTTACTGCCTAATTAGTTTTTGACAAAGTGAAACTACATGTTGTGTTATGTGCTAAGTTGATTCTATTATGTGAACATTAAAAGTGCAAATTGACCTTGATATCTTTGCACCCTTTTGTACTTCCTGGTTACTGCACAGCTCAATTTTTCCACTGTATTTGCTCTAATACAGTTGATTTGGAGTTGTGTTTTATTGTTCTGCTCTATTTTAAAGATGGCAAGATTGAAATATGGACTGTATGATAGTTACCTGTATTGATTGTATGTTAACAATGCAGAACATTTCTGCAATTACTGCATTTCCTTGTACTTCCTGTATTCTGCACATGACACTGCTCATCATTAACTGTCACAAGTTATTATGCTTACTCAATTTTGCACTAGCCAGTAATAACCATTTTGAGTTATTGTACATTCATTGGGCTATTTTTGTTGAACTGCACAATGATAACTCTCTCCTTTTTAGCATCATGGCCACCATCCCCAACAGCACATGCTAGTGATGAGGAAAAGGATGATGAAGAAGAAGAAAAGGATAGCTCAGATGAAGAAGATGCAAATGATTAGAATATAATTTTATTACTTTTTCTGCTTTCTCTATTTGTAAATAACGAGTATGTTATTTCTTTTCACTTCAATACTTTTTGCTATATATTATTTCCTTTTATTTTCGAGTTATAATTACACCTTGCACTTTATTATATGGTCAGTTTTAATTTCATATCTCCTCTTAATTTGTGCTAAATGGCTGTGAATCTTTGTGCAAACCATGCTCTTAGTTCCACCAAGAGGAGCACATGAATTTTGAATTATGAACACCTATTATGTAAGGAGGTGATCTCTTTACTTATTCTTCATATGTGTATTGCTCAATTTTTTTCATGCTACTTAAAATTTTGAAATACATAAACAATTTTAGTTATTTTTCTTTTTTCTATTTAATAGTTTTATTACACTTGAAGCTTAATAGAATACACTGCAATAATTCTAACTTCTGATTGCATGCCCTTTTTGTGCTTGTTCTTCAATTGGTAATCACACTTTGTTTTGCTAATAAAAAGGATTCTTACCATTTTGCATAAATTCATTTCAAGGTGAATTGTATACATGTTTTGAAAGATAAATTATCACATGTTCCTATGGTAAGAATTGAGCATTTCTTTCCTTATGTGTGCAATTTACATCACAATTTGCATTCATTCTCTAAAACTTGCCATGTTTCTTATTGAATATGCATTGTTTTGTTTGCATTTAAGTGATTGAGGCCTTCTTTGTGTACCCCTACTCAACCTAAGAAGCCTCCCTGTAATATCATCATCTTAGTACACCCTTTTGAGTAGATTGTCTTGTTTCTTGATTTTGCCACACTGCTAATTTTAAATTGCAAAACCTATTATACATATTCCAAGAGATTAAGAAATTGCAAAACCTTTTGAGCTGATTATAACTAAATTCTGGTTCTTACTTAATTTCACATCTTTTAGGCTCAAACAATTGAATTAAGAAATTTTTAGTAATTGGAAATCAATCTTTGTGGGACGATATTTTAGGAACTTATTTTAGAATCCTTTATTACTTATCAACGATACACTTCCGAACAATATATAACAACACCAAATATATCATGCACTATAATCTTATTTTTATAATAATATAAAAAAACAATATATATATTAGATAGCTTTGTATGTACTTATTGTCATGATTTAAGAAGGAGAGAGGGAAAAACCTGAAGAAATAAGAGGAAGAGGACTGCCATGAAGGATAGGAAGAGGTGAAATCCAGAGTTTCCTTGTCTGTCTCTCTCTACCAACAAATCCAACCCAATACAATAGCCAATAGCTCATTCTGTTTGCTATTTTCTATTTTTTTTTCACACCAAACACCAAATATATCATTGTAATTAATAATAAAATAGTAAATAGTAAATAAAATCAAATAAAGAGGAATAATATTAAAATTTAAAATTTTTCTTATAATTTGCTTGGTATTTTTATTGTTGCTATATTGTTCAATATAT